CAATAGACAATTAACAACCATGCACAACAACTTAACATACTCCAACTACCGTGAACCCATCTAATGGGAGCTTCCGCCTCTTAAAATAGAGTGTTCCACTTCAAGTATAGTGAATCAATTAATATTTGAACTTATTACACTAGGAAAGGGGGAGAGTTAAAGAAAATATTTCACTTCACTAAACAAGGTGCCATCATGATTCTGCCACAACACTTAGGTAAGTGAAGAATTCAGGTTTCCTACCCCTTCCTAGCTACTCTTGGCCACCTCAATGTGAAGAAACAAGAAGCCAATCACATCAATCTCTGACAAGGTATTCGATCCAGATATCAACTATTCAACAGTGCTGAGAAAAATTACAAAAAATTGCGTAAACACTCTCTTTCTTTCTTTTTTTTTTTTTTAACATCGCTTACGCAACTTGTAAAACATTCCACTCACATAGCAATACAAAGGAGAAACACATGAACAAACAGATGCAAATATGTAAGCTAAATTCAGCAAACCTATCAAAACCTCGAACATCAAATACTGAAACCCTAAATCCCAAATTTGCTCAATTGTCAATCACAATCAGATCTCCCAACCTACTAGGACAGATAATCCTTGACTAAAATTGAAAAGGAACATAGGTATAGAAAGATAACGAGCGAACCAGAACGAGTAAGCAACCGGAAGTCGGATCTGCACGAAGTTTCAATCTGCGAAAGCTACAAATGTGAAAAAATAATGCAAATATATTATTAAACGGATTATAGGAATGGATGAGGACGAGTGATTAACGACGTCGGGTGTTGATCGTAAGATGATTGGTGACGTCGGTGGCGAAAGGGGAACAGAGGAGGAGAGAGAAAGTCACGGGGAGAGAGAGATGGACATAAATACGCAGAACCCGTCCTTATATATTAATTCATCCATCCTTATATATTAATTTAGAAGTGCCATATTGTCACGCTTCCTATGTTGATATGACGAAAATCTATGTTTCGTGAGGTTATTTTTATATTATTTTTGCTATAGAGTTAAGTTTAGTATTAGACATAAATAATTTTACACATATATTCATTAACTCAACACTCATGTTGTACATGGGTATTAAAACTAGTTGATCTTTATTGTTAAGTGCAGTTGAGTTAGCAAGTTTTTTCATTTCTTTTTAAGTTTTCTTTGAGTTAATTAACAAATTTCTGATATTTACAATTTTAAAATCTATTATTAGCAACTTTATTTATTAATCACGTACAATTTCAATTTTTTTTTTTACACTAGCATAAATAAAAAAAATACTACAAGTACATAATAAATGTACAAAGTGTACATAACATTCGCATAGAGTGGAGTCCAGTTGATTATTTATTTAACAGGATTCACTTATATGAGTTTTATGCACAATTCTATATACAGTATTATGTACTTATAGCATTTCTCTAATGCATAAACTTGTATCAAATCGTCTACTTATTGTTTTATAGGCTTATAAAATGTATAAATAGCCATTTTTTATTTTAATATTCAAAAGATTTTGTTTGAATTGTTGTTTTTTCAAGATATCAATGTCTTTAAAATTTAAATATTAAGTTCAAAATCATTTTATGACATTATTTTAACAAGTTTATTGATACTAATAGTCAAGTAGATTACATAATACTACACCACAATTGCGTAAATTTCCATATTAATAATATGAAGTTCTACATATTATTAAGGTCAGTTTGGTTGGAATAATGGATTGAGTCTGATATAATCTTTTGGATTGTTTGAAAAGTTCTACATATTATTAGGGTCAGTTTGGTTGAAATAATGGATTGGGCCTGATATAACCTTTTGGATTGTTTCAAAGGCTATTCATTCATTTAATTAGCCCAATAACATGTTTGATTTAGAATTGAAAATTATATCTTTTAATTTGAAATTACCTTTTTACCCTTAATTTTAAATTAAATTTTCGCTTCATCCAATTCATCCATCTCTTAGTTGGTAGACAAAAGCGAGTATTGTCCAGCCCTCTTTTCCTACTCGAGTAAATTGCACCAAACCCCCCTGTATTATACTAAATCTGTGCGTTTTCCCCTCGTAATTTAAAAATTGCGTCAAACCCATTTGTAATGTACTTTTGCATGCACGAAACACCTTAAACCGTCAAAGATGATGGAAGTAGAGTGCACGCGCGTGCTATGTTACTCTTTCTTCATTTTTTGGCCACAGATATTCTTTTTACTACTATAAATATTATATATATTATATATAATATATTCTTTTTACCATATGGTAACAGTATATAAATTATCATATGGTAACAGTATATATTCTTTTTACCACAAATTATCATATGGTAACAGTATATAAATGATAATATATATTTATATATATTATATATATATATATATTATAATAACAGTATATATATTCTTTTTAAGAGCACGGGAAAACAAAAATGGCATATTCCAGAACACGCACCAACAGGAGAGAGCCGCCACCAAGAGATCGCTCACGGCCGCCGCCGGATTCTCTCGCCATCCGTCCGCACAACTTTCGAGATCGACGGGCAATAAATTAGTAGATCTGAAATCAAGCTTTCACCAACATGTAGAAAGCTTAACTGAAAAGAAAAAGTTAATTTCCACCAAATTCGAAGGTGTTGTTGCTTAACGAAGAAGATGAAGGGACGGTATTGTTTACGAAGAAGAAGAGGAAGATGATGAAGAAAAAGGGACAAGGGTTCTTGTTCTTGGTGCCAACACAATTTCACGAAAGACAGGAAGAAGAAAAGAGGTTATCTTTATAAAATAATCATTATTATTATATAAAATAATTAGAACTTTGTAAAAGGTTCGAGTAGGAAAACTAAATTGGCATCCAAGTAGCAACCAAAATTGCCTATAGTACAGGCTCATTTTGAGATTTGATACCTTAGTTGGCCAATACAATTTACAAGGCATTGGA